AGTTTGCAAGAGATAGCATACTGTAGGCATTGGTTTAAAAAAACTTATAATATGAAAAAAGCAAACAAGAAATGTATTTATTTGCCCTTTATGTGTGTTTATATATATATATATATATATATATATATATATATATATATATATATATATATATATATATATATATATATATATCATTCTTACACTAGTATTTAAAGATACAGAATTTAATGTATTTTTTTAAGATTTGTCTGTATTTAAACATATGATCTAAAACATAATTTAAAAAATAAGTTATGTTTTTAGTCTTTTTACCAAGTACTTTTTCACTCATAATAAGTTTTAAGTTATTGATGCATGAGTATTTTTTGTTTTGTTTTTTTTTTGTTGCTGTACTTGAATACAAATTTTGGATACTCTGTCATGCTTCAAAAGACAAATAATTATGCAATAAACACAATTTGAACTTCCCTAAAGACATTTGTATGTTAAAATGTAAAAGTATAAAAGTTCTACAATGATCTCAAGGTATTTTACATACCTGGTGTGTAATTAGTGATATGGAAAAAAAAAAAAAGTAGTTCTAAGGATGTAATTTATCACATGGATACTGGAACTGGAAGGCTGATATTTGTTGTTTGTGTAATTGTAACATATATTGTATAGTATTGGAACACCTGCAAAAACAAAAAAACTTGATCCATACACATTGTTTAGTCAAACTTTTTTATTGTAGTCTTTTGTCATGCGTTCATAACGTGAAATAACCTTCAGAGTATGTGCGCCCGGAACTCAAATCCCGTGCGTAATTACGCACATGGTGACTTTCTGACTCCTGTGTTTGCAGAGTGAGCGTCATGTTTATGAGGGTCAGAGCGCATTTATTTGCAGGGATGTTTGTTGGCTAGAGGAACAGTTTAGTTTACCTCCTCTTTCTCTCCCTCTGTCTCTCTCTCCCTCTCTCTTCAGCTGCCGCGATATTTTCCAGCTCTGAAGCCTCAGCCGCGCAGCTCGATCGATTCGCATTGATTGTCCCTGACGAGCTGCTCCACTTTCCAGCCAATGTCAGCCAGTCTGCGATCGGGAAGGAGAGAAATGAAGGAAAATCTCTGCCGCCCTGGCGGTGTCATTTCCACACACTTGGGTTGGCCGCCTGCCAGCAGACAGGACAGTGGGAAGAAATGGAGTGGAGTGTTTGTGAAAGCTGGAGGAGAGGAGTGACAGCTCTGGTGCTGTACTTTTATCACCTCCTTTTGATTTACAGTTTATCCCGTTTCCCTTAAAAGAACTGTTCTTATCTCCAAACCACATCCAGTCTTGTGCTTCACTGTTTGTGTTACCCATAGTTGTTTTGTTGTATTCTTCATTGCAATTTAAGAACCAAATTTCGTTTTGAAGAAACCGCTGAAATAAAGACAACTAGTCACTCTCCTTTTAACACAATTGGAAAATGGCATATTAGTGCATTTATTATTATTTATCTTTGTAACCTATTATTTATTGGAAATATTATTTCCAATTTTTTTTCTGCAGACAAAAGAAAACAGTTTAGTGTGCAGAGCATTTTTTCCCACCTCAGAATTTATACAATATAAGGTACTGAGTTTTGATCGGTTAAAAGGCATCATAAAGATGGACAATACAGTAACTGCTGGTGCATAATTTCTTTTTCTCTTTTTTTATAAAGAAGCACTGCTTAGATATCAGCTCCAATATCAAATATTGGTGATTTTATATTGGATATTAGGGATCCAATCCAGGGCACTTTACACTGACTTATATTTTTGTTTATTTGTTGTATACTGTACATATATATCTGTGTTCATTTGTTAACTTTTTTAACATTGTTTATATCAAGACTAAAGCCTTCACTCTCATGGCAAAATATATGGTTAATTCATTCAACAGTTGAACCGGATTGGTATCGAAAATCAGCCAATACGCTCAGCCCAGGTATCGGGTGGGATCAGGAAAAAAAAGCTGATCATTGCATTTCTACTTTTATTATTATCTTCATTGTACATTTTGTTCCCAACATGGATCGCTTTGTACCAAACTACGGGGAACTTTATATCTTGTTGATGACAAATGTTTTAAAATCATCACCAAAAAGTGTTCATAGTCTGTTGTAGCAAAATGTGTTTTCATAAATCCAATAAATATCTATCCTTAGAAGGTTGTTCTAAGCTTTTTCTAGTTTTATCAAGTAACATAATATGCCATATTCTATTAGTTAATTGGCTCAAACTGTGATCAGATCCAACATAAACATGGACTTGAAGTAATAAAAGGTTTTCTGGAGAGAATATTTAATGAAATGAGTTAAGGAATAAATTTTTACCATTTATATGCTACATTAATTCTATAATACTTTACTAAAGAAACATTAATTTATACTTAATGATTTCAGAACAATATGTACTAAAGCGCTTTTCATGTGTTTAAAATGGAGGTAATGATGAAAAGGCAATGTTACATAGCTGCACAATGGAAATCGACTTTAACTTTTGCAATATCTGTTTTCCTGCACAGACAGAAGTGATAAAGTGATAAATGTGTTAAGCCGTCCATCAATTTTCCATCACACCTGGCCCACAAGGGGTGCTGGTGCCTATCTCCAGCCGTCTATGGGCGAGAGGGGGGGTTACACACTGGAAAGGTCGCCGGACACACAGAGCCAAACAACCATTCACGCACACAAGGAGAATTTAGAGAAGCCAATTAATACAAACTAACAGTCATGTTTTTGGAAGGAAGCAGGAGTACCTGGAGAGAACCCATGCATACACCGGGAGAACACGCACATTCCATGCAGAAAGCCCTGGGCCAGGAATTGAAACCAGAACCTTCTTGCTGCAAGGCAGCAGTGCTACCCACTGTTCCACTAAGCAACCAAATCTTTTAACCCAACTTTGTTATTATAAGGATGTTGCATAGGTTTTATATTCGCAAACATGCAAAGTATGAAATATAATTGCTATGCACAAAAATCCTTGGACCAGTTTTTCTAAGATATTTGACATGAAAATAGTAACAGGTGTTGGGCTTTTCATTTTGTTCTTTGTAAACATTTTTCACAGTGAATAAATAAAAGAGTTTTGCTTTTTTATACTGCATGTTTGAAGTTCTAAGTTGGAAATGTTACAAAAAAAGAAAAAAAAAAATTCCAATGTGAAAAGATAGAAGTGCAGGTTAAAATCCAAAATGGCTGCCTTCTGTTTAGAATTCTATTGTTGTTCTTGCAGGATGTAGTTTTTTACAGTCTTTCCCAGAGACAAATAGATTTAAACATATCCAATCCAATCCACTTTATTTATATAGCACGATTTCAATAAACACAAGGTTTCCAAAGTGCTGCACAAAAAAGATAAAATAACAAAAATAAATGAAAATAAATAAAAGTAAATAAAATAAAATAAAATAAAAGCACTGCCCGCACAGGATAAAAATATGCATGTGTATACATAAAATCATCATGTGTATACATAAAATCAACACTCTACATGGTGTCAAAAGCCAAAGAAAAGCCAAAGAAAATATGTTCTAACAAGAACATATTTCTTTAGTGTGCATGATTACATGGTATTGAGGAACAAACGCTCGATGACAGCCTCTTTCGTTAAAAGTAATAACCTGTAGCGCTGGGTAAAAAAATCGATTTAATCGATTTTGGATGGATTCCTTTAGATTTTTGCAAAATCTATGTGTAAGGAATGACATTCACATTCAAATGAGCAGGTGTGTGCAAATGTCGACCCAAGTAACACATCGCTCAGCAAGCTGTCCCAACTGAAGTCTGATGTCTGGAACCATTTTGGATTTAAAACAGCTAAAGACAATGTGCTGGATATGTGACATTAAAGTAAATTCCCGCTACACTGATAATGAGTGGCGCCTCGCATCTCGTGCAACAGACCAACAAGATTACTTCAAGCCAGACAGCTGCAAATATAGCCAAAAGGTTGACTGAAGACATTCACAAACGGGGACTGACCAGCAAACACCCTGTAGTTGTTACAGCCAACGCTGCAAATATGGTTTGGCAGTGAAGATAATGCAGCTCATGCATGTCTGCTGTGTCCCAGCTGTGTCACGTCACTTTTTCACTTTTCACAAACAAGTTTGCACTTATGATACAGTTTTTTTCACATCTCAACTTTAAACTGCTCATTTATAAGTTTGCACTTTATGTTTAATATGACAGGAAAAAATTTATTACATGAGTATTTTGAAACACAGTTAAAGCACCTTCATTATTGTAAAAACAGATCGAATCGAAGTTAATCGATTTAGAACTGTATGAATCAAAATCAAATTGATTCAGGACTTTGGCCAAAATACCCAGCCTTAATAACCTGCTTATCGTGTGCTGCAAGTGAGAAATCTAACAACAACATGTTGGTTTATAATCATTTATTCCAACATCCAACTACTACATCTGGAAGTAAAATAAAACAGAAGCAGTTGAGCACACCCTTTAGTTTCTGTATCTTCCACAACCTTTTAATTACGCAAAACAGGAAAATCTGTGGGGTAGAGTCTGAAATCATGTTCATTCTTTTAAGTAAATGCTGGGTTCAATATAAAACAGAGAGAACATTGACAACATGATATTACACACACTTAAAATAATGGCTAAAATGAATATATTTTTTAAATTTTTTGTTATAAAGTGGGACTGGAAAACACTAAGAAATCTGCAGTCTAATCTACTGTCAATATTTATGATCATGCATCATAAACCAATGTAAAAACTTTACAGGAATGTTCTAAGCGCCTCATTTATAAACATTCTCTTATCCAGAAGGATGATTAAATAGAATAATTGATAATATTAGTAAAGTTTTCATATCCTAGTTTGAATACATGAAGTAAAGTGATGCAAAGGGCGGATTTCTGACAGTTCTAAGTTCATTTTGCATCAACTTCTATTCCGCACAGATCTATCTGAAAGTCCATTCCGGGTTTTCCACGAGGCTCCAAAAATCTATGAAATGTGTTTGCATGTTCCTCTCTGCAAGCGGGGATGTAGAGGTGGGATTGCAAGCGCCGAGAGAACTCGGGGAACCCACGCGTTCAACACAGCCCCTGAGAAAGTGCGCTTTCCTCACTGAACCAACGCGCAATCTTACATTAATTTTATTTTATTTCTCCTCACGTTTTTCACTATCAAGCAGGCGCCGGGTTAGGATTGTCTCTTTGGAAAAAGAAGCTTTTTATCTCCCTGTCTTCTCTTCTTTCTTTCTCCTTTTTTCCCCTGTCACCATTCGCCAAGGCAAGGCAGGGAGAGACGCGGACCGCTCGGACTGTGGGAGCCCTTCCCTCTGCTTGAAGCTCTTCTGGTAGGTGCGAATAATAATAATAAAAAAAACCTCCTGTGTTTGCAAATATGCAGATATATGGAAAAAGGAGGGAGGAGGGGTTGGAGTTGGTGGGGGAATCATACTATGTTGAAGTCTGATGAAAGTTAGGATGTGATGTTTGTGTAGGATGAAGTTGAAGCAGGGTTTATCTGGATATATCCTGGAAGGTTTGACCAGGATCAAACCCCGTTTATTCTCTCTTATTTAATACTACTGGGGAAATAAACATAACTGTAAATAAGGAGACGCTTCTTAAGGTAGGTAGTTTAATGTATATCAGTTGACATGACCAGTTATTATAAGGATTCGCTTAATTGAACATCGCTTTAATGAAAGTTGCTTAAAACATGTATGCGCCTCACTGAAACAGCTACTCCATCCGCGCGTAAAGACTTTTCTCTACATTTATCTTTTGTTTTCTACATCCCGGCATCATTTGAAAGTTTTGCAGTAATTGCTTTATTTTTTCCGCCACCACAATAGATAAATAGCAGCATCGCAAAGTGGCTTTAAATAAATCCTCTAACTTTTCTGTGTGCGCGTCCGCAGCCCTAATCGGTGGGAAAGGAGACCCAGCAGCAGGTTATGGACAAAGGATGAAGCCTTGAATCGAATTATTGCCACCGGGCTTTCTAGCCTCCTCTGCGTTCGTGCGTGTGCGCGCGCGTCAGTCGATAGGGAGCTCAGCGCGTGGACGCGCGCACACGCATAGTCCGCCTGAAAAAGAAAAAAAAAAGGATTGCTGTGTTCGGTGGTTCGGCGTCTGTCGCAAATGATTCACAACCACAACCTGCAATAAACCAAACAATACTTTCCCCCCTTCCAACAACCACTACCTCTGTTAAATAGAAGCTGCAAACCTAGCACCTGCGCGTGCGCTGACGTCAGTCACGGAAACTCATTCAGGACTGATGGGTGAGTAGCTGACACTTCATAACAGGCTCACTCATCAGGGCAAAAAACTAGTTAAGACTCAGAATCTGGAAAGTACGGAAGAGGATTAGGGCCACTGATTTTTACATATTATTTCAGTTTAATATGGGAAAAAAAGTCAGAATCCTGACTTTAATTTCAGAATTCTGACTTTTTTCTCAGAATTCTGACTTTAATCCCATAATTCTGACTTTAATCTCAGAATTCTGACTTTAATCTCAGAATTCTGACTCTAATCTCAGAATTTGGGATCTTAATGTAGATGGGCACCATAAAGGAAGAGACGTGTGAGCACTCAGCTTCACTGTCAAAGATGTGAGCTGTTTGGGAGGGCCAGTAACACATTGGTGGAAAAAGAAAAAAATAAGGGAATTTTTTTCATGCCCGAGGGATCCCTGGTGATGCTATTTCATTAATGGAAGAGCAGAAGGTGATTTGTAAAACAAGAGAGCTAGTTTAGTCTCTAAAACAGACATGGTTATGGCTTGATGCTAAAATGTTTGTTACCTGTCAGAATTCAGTGAGCATTCTGAGATTAAAGTGAGAATTCTAAGAGAAAAAAGTCAGAATTCAGATTTTTTTCTCATATTATACTGAGAAAAAAAAACACAAAAAAAAACAGTTAACTTTTTTTGTTATTTTTTTCAGTGGCCCTAATCGTCTTCTGTAGGAAAGGACCTTTACAACACAGTCCTATTAGATAGTAATCTAAAACATAACAGCCATTTTTATCAAGTTTTCTGATTCTGAGTCAATCATACAATAAACCGGCCACTTTATTAGGTACACCTTACCATTACGATATCTCACCCTTTCATTCTACCAGATCTGCTCCAATTCTTCCATGCAAAGATTAAAGGTGTTGCAAAAATCCCTCAGAGGTTTAAATGCAGCAAATTTTTTCAGCTTCATGTCCACAATTCAATGCTCTGATGGGTTTAAAACTGGTAATTGTGGAGACAATAGGAGTGCAGTGAACCCCCAAAAGTACATTGTCCTCCAAGAATCAGCCATCAAAAGATGGGTATGTAGCAGGCATAAGAGGGTGAACATGGACAACGATAATAACAAGGTGTTCTGTTATGCTTTAATGCTTCCTTTTTGGTATCCAAAGTGTGCCATAAAATACCCCAAACACTATTGTACCACCACATTATGAGGAGTTGTTGAATATATGCTTTTGTGTTTTTCAAACCAAATACTTAAACATCTGTCTACTATTTCATATTCAGTGGACCAAACAGCATTTTTCCAGATCGTTTAATTTCCTGTTTTTAGTAATGTTTGGGGCTTTTAGTTTCATATTACTGATGGCATTCTACATATCATGGTTAAATCCAGTGGTTATTTTAGCTGCTGTTGCCTTTTTTATCATCTTAAACAAGCCTACCCATCCTTCTCTGATATCAACAAGGCCTTTTCATGCACACTACTGATGCTGACTGGATATTTTCTATTTTTTTGTACCTGAGAGATGATTTACCTGAACATTTCCAAAGTTTTAACAGTTTCTGAAACCCTCAGATCAGCCTGTCCAGCACCCATAGCCAATAAACATCCGCAGTTACTTAAAACCCATTTTCTTCCTCATTTGGGTGCTTAGTTGAAACAAGTTATCGTTACCACATCTTGATGCCTGAATGCATCAAATGGCTGCTATGTTATTGATTCGTTTACTGTTCGTCTTAACACCTAATTAAACAGGCGTACTTAATAAAGTGTTTGTAGATTACAAAGATTCATATATAGCAGCAGTTCATAGACCATAAACCAAAGATTAATCTTTGCAATTGATATCACCTAAAAAGTGTTCTGGAAGGAAATATCTTGAAAAAAATAAATTTTTAACACATAAGAAACAACAGACCCCCAAATCAAATGGTACTTCATTAAAAAATCCAAAGCAGCATGATAAAGATCATAACAAATAGCATTTGGTCAGAACAAACAGCACAGCTGTTAAGCTTTTTATTTAGAGACATTTAAATATGCTGAGAGGTAATTTCTTGCAATTTAAAGTAACACATTTTTAAACTAATAATCAAACAATCAGACTAGAGACTTATGCCCATAAAGACCTAAGGCTTAACTTTGATTCATTTTGAACAGATTCAAACTTGACTAAACCGTCTGGGACTACAAAGTCTCAGGAGCAATTTTAATTTTAATTTTACATATTCCTAATAATCAGGGGTGAATAAATCCAGAAGGTTTAGATAGTGGCTGGAGTGAATGATTAATGTCCCCCTCCCCTGTGTTTCATAGTGTATACAAATGACAGGTTGTCAAGGTAACAACAGGCAGAATAAGCATGGCTTCTCTGTGAGGTTTCTCATCGTCATGTGCCAGTAAAAGGAGTAAATAGCCTCTTCCAAGTTTGTCTTTTTTAATTAAATGCTTCCATCGAGAAAAAAAAAATCTAAGGTAAGCCAGCCACAGACTGCACCTCGGACAGAGATGTGCATGTTTTTCAGTAAAAACAAAACAAAAAAGTGTTTTGCTTTGTTTACAAGGGATGTTTGCAGACCCCAGGCTGTTAGTGGCTCTTAACTTGTTCATGCTAGCTGTAGACTCATATGGCTACACAGATGTCTGACAAACTATCAGTTATGCTGATAATTTCAAAAATGTCCCTCTGACATCCTGTTCTTTCTCTGTTAAGCTAACATAATTACAAAGACAGTTGGGATCAACAATAATAATCAATTAATAAAAATATTTTCAGTTTAATTTATCTTAACATTCAGTATTAACAGGTTTATTACCTGTTTCTGCATTTGTTTCTTTACATTTATCCAATGACCATTTTTTTTAAATTTTCATAGTCAACAGTTATTGACATGTGAAATTAAACTTTGATATATCCAATATATAACATAAAGATGGGAAATAAAAACTAAAAAAATAAGTTCAACCTTAACTGTTGATGATGTTTTGAATTAATTAACTACAGCAATGCAATTTAATAGTCAGATCACAGGTATAGTATGTAGCGCATATTATAAAGTTATGATAAAGAACTTAATGCTTCATCCTAATTATTATTTCCAGTCGCCTAAATGTCAGCGAATCACTCCATTCAATCTTACTCATTTTTATTATTAATAAATACTAAAGAGAAAACTTGTGTTTACATTTCACTTTTGAACAGCTTTTGAAAATGATGGTTCATGGGTCATCTTGCAGTAAATTTGATTGACAAGACTAAAATGTCAAGGCAACAACAGTTTCAGAAATGGTATGACCCACTTTATATGCTTCTGATTAATTATTTTGAATAGATTTGATATAACTGTATGAATAGGAACCAATAGGAAGTAATCAGTGCTAGATGTTATATAGATCTCATGAGTTCAACATATCACAGTTTTAGTTCTTTAATTAAAGGTCTAGATTAGGCATGGGTCTATTTCAGATTCTAATAATATCTCCTTCAGTAAAAATACCGTGATTTCTTTGTAGTTGTAAGTTTTTTTTAACAAAATCTACAACGATGTGGACATAGTTGTGCTGAAAAAGTTAGATTTATTTAAGCAAATTAAGTAAAATGTACTTGTTTTTCATAGGCACAAACAGCATTTTACTCAGAATTTTAAGGCAACACCGATACAAACAACCATTGACACCTAAGGAGAATTTAGAGGAGCCAATTAACCTAACAGTCAAGTCTTTGGAGTGTGGGAGGAAGCTGGAGTACCCGGAAAGAAACGCATGTATGCAAAGGGAGAACACTCCATGCAAAAAGACCCCAAGCCGGGAATCAAACCTGGAACCTTCTTGCTGCAAGGCGGCAGTGCTATCCACTGGGAAGCCCTCTAGCTGGAATATTACTTTTCACTTACTTTACACTTACTTTTCAATTAAGCAATAAAACCTTTCCAACCCTCTGAAACTGAGAGTTTCAACAATCGTTACAGAAAATATATATTTTGTAAGATCAAGAATATTTAACTATTAACTATTAATACTTAACACAAACATGCTCAAAACAACTTCTGGGCGAGGGTCAGAACAGAAAGAGCCACTTAAACTTTGATAGTGATGTAAAGA